CTGACTAAAAAACCCCTTTATCCGCCTGCCAGCCTGGAATCGCTTCTCGCATGTCATCAGGTTAGGGAGGCCTTCAATAAATTCTTTCTAGTTTTTTTTTTATCTCAAATCGGCTTCTCGCCTCTCTTCTTCTTCTTTGGTTTTCATGATATCCTTGATGAATGAATTCACTTGATTCCATGTGTCTGCTCCTCCTAGCATAGTTTCCACCAAATTTTCTGTATCGAGGTTCATCCCAATCGCTATCTGTATCTGCCTTCTTTGTTGCTCCCATCTCTTGCACTCGAAAACTGTATGGGCCACAGTGTCAACTGTTCCGCAGTACAAACATAGGTCGCTATCTGTTTTTCCTATTCTTTTGACATATACCCTGAAAGACCCATGTCCAGAGAGTACTTGGGACAGATAGTAGTTGGCTCTTCTGTGTTTGCACAGTATCCATTCTGAAAGTCGAGGTATCAGTCTCTTCGTCCATTGTGCTTCATTAACGGTACTATTCCAAAGTTCTTGCCACTTTTCTAAGGTCACTTCTCTCTCCTCTGCCTTCGCTTCGTTGGTGTTTCCGTCTCTCCTCCTATACAGTCTCCCTCTTTCTTCCACCATCAGCTCAATTGGGATTATTCCCGCAATAACTATCTATCTATCTATCTATCTATCTATCTATCTATCATCTATCTATCTATCTATCTATCTATCTATCTATCTATCTATCTATCTATCTATCTATCTATCTATCTATCTATCTATCTATCTATCTATCTATCTTTCTATCTATCTATCTATCTATCTATCTATCTATCTATCTATCTATCTATCTATCTATCTATCTATCTATCTATCTATCTATCTATCTATCTATCTATCTATCTATCTATCTATCTATCTATCTATCTATCTATCTATCTATCTATCTATCTATCTATCTATCTATCTATCTATCTATCTATCTATCTATCTATCTATCTATCTATCTATCTATCTATCTATCTATCTATCTATCTATCTATCTATCTATCTATCTATCTATCTATCTATCTATCTATCTATCTATCTATCTATCTATCTATCTATCTATCTATCTATCTATCTATCTATCTATCTATCTATCTATCTATCTATCTATCTATCTATCTATCTATCTATCTATCTATCTATCTATCTATCTATCTATCTATCTATCTATCTATCTATCTATCTATCTATCTATCTATCTATCTATCTATCTATCTATCTATCTATCTATCTATCTATCTATCTATCTATCTATCTATCTATCTATCTATCTATCTATCTATCTATCTATATATCTATCTATCTTTTTTTTTTTTTTTTTGACGGGGAGGAATCTTTATGACACAGGTACAGGTTCTTCCTTCCCTGCGAAAGGGGACTCCCGAGGAGATGTGCAAGCTCGGTATACCCCAATAAACCTCCCTCACTGTCACCATTTCAGGCTATCCCGGAACTGTCGTTTGACATAACATCGGGAAAGCCATCGGTCTGTAATACTTCCCATTCTGTCTTGTCCTTATTTCAGTCTTCGAGCACGACTAATCGCCACCATTCGTTGTCTCTATTTTCTATCAAAATCACCTCTGCCGAAAAGACCTTTCTTCTTCTTCTTCCTTCATCATTATCATCCTGATGAAAGTATGAATTTTTGTCCATTTTCTTTCGCTCTGTATCATGTGGCCTATGACGTTATCTGCTCCTATTGGTTGCCCAAAGTCAATGCTAAAACGATGCCTCTCCCTCACCCATCTCTCACATACAAATACTGTGTGAGCAGGTGTATCAGTTTCTCCGCAGTATATACACATCTCATCCTCGACTTTTCCTATACGGAATGTAAATGTTCGAAATGAGCCATGACCTGTGAGGAATTGTGTGAGATAATAATCTATCCTTCTGTGTTCACACTCCAACCATGGATGTATGTTTGGTATCAGTCGTTTCGTCCACTGTGTCGCCTCTCTAGTGTTTTTCCACCTTTCTTGCCATTTCGTTACTGATCTCATCCTTGCTCTTGCCTTCATCTCTATTATGTTTTGTCTTTCTCCGTTGAATAATTCTGTTCTCTCATCTGTTAATAAATCTATAGGTAGGACACCAGCTATCACTTGTAGTGCTTTCAAAGAAGCGGTTCTATAAGCAGAAGTAACTCTCAATAATGATTTCCTCTGTAATTTTTCCACCACATTTCTATATCTTTTGATTCGAAGTGCGTTTCCCCATATTGGTGCCCCATATATAATTATTGATTGAGCAACTCCAGCAAGCATTTTTCTTTTCTCAGCAGATGGTCCTCCTATATTCGGCATTATCCTCATCAAGTTTGATATGTTTTCTTCTGCTTTTTTGACAGTTTTCCTGATATGTTCATAAAAAGTCAGCTTCTCATCCAGCCAGATACCCAAATACTTCACTGTCCTCTGAGGAACAATCGAAACGTCACCTACCATGAATGTTATCCCTTCTCTCGCCATTGGCCCCTTGAGAATTACTGCCTCCGATTTGTGTGGTGCAAGTTTCAGATAATTGTCTCTCATCCACCTCCCGATTGTCGTCAAAGATATATTAGCAGCAAGAGAAAGGTTTTCTTTGCTATTGAATTCAACAATCAAAGCCAAGTCGTCTGCATACGCAATCGTTCTACAACCCTCTGGTAGATCCCTCCCCAGAACATTATCATACAGGATATTCCACAAAGTTGGCCCAAGGACTGAGCCTTGTGGAACTCCCATCGAGATACTCCTGCTCTCCTGACCTCTCAGCTCAATCGTTCTACCACAAAAATAGTTTTCAATCACATTAATCAGATACCCGCTGATTCCCAGCTCCCTCAGCCTGCTTATTATCAAGCTCCACTTGGCACTGTTGAAAGCATTCTTTACATCTAGCAGAACGAGGGCGCACCATTTCCTACTTGAATTCTTCACGGAATCGACCAGCCACTGTACAGCTTGGAGCGTTGATCTACCCTTTCGGAAGCCGTATTGCGTTTCTGACAGTCCTCTCATTTCTGCCAACTCCTTTATCAGTCTTTCCCTCACTAGCATTTCGTATAACTTTCCCATTGTATCGAGTAGGCATATTGGTCTATGAGCGGAAGCACTTTCAATATCGTCCGTTTTCAGTTTCGGAATCAAAACCACCCTCGCGCGCTTCCACTGCGCTGGAAATTGTTGCCGAATCAAAAGATTATTCATCACCTCTAAGATCTTAAGCGGAGCAACAGCTAATGCTTCTTTAATTGTCTCAACTAGTATGTCGTCTAATCCTGCCGCCTTTCCAGATTTCATATTATTCGATGCTGAGATCAGTTCTTCCATTGTGAATGGTCTTACTTCTTCTGACACTTCGCTCCTTTCCCATATGTCGGGTTCGCTCGGGAAGAGTTCTGTTAAAATGTCTAATTTTCTTTCTATGCTGATATGATAAGGTGTTGGTTGAATTTTCAGATGTTTCGTAGCTAGTTTATATCCCTGCCCCCAAATGTCCTGATCTAGTTCGCTGCATAACTCCTTCCATAGGTTTCTCTTAGACGTGTTTATCAACGATTTCAGTTCTTTTTTCGTTATTCTATAATCTTGTATCAGTACTTCGATATCATCACTTCTTGTACATCTTGCTCTAGTTAATAGGCGCCTCACCCTGTTACATTGGATTCTTTTGGATTCTATTTCACCATTCCACCAGTAGGGCATATGTCTGCGGTTGTTCAGCGGTCTTAACAAACTTCGCTCCTGTGCTTCTTTGAGAGTGCTGGTAATATTTCTAATATCAGAGCTACAGTTGTCCGTTAATTGTATTCGTAAGGTCTCTCTCAATTTAACTTTGTCCAGTTTTTTATCGATCCTCTTCCCCGCACGGTATTTTTTCACTCTGAGTGCTGTATTAATTTCGAAGAATATGTACCTATGAAGGCTTAGCGAGTCCTCCGTTGAGACTCGCCAGTTTACAATGTTTCTTGCTAGCTTGTTCGTAGAAATCGTTATATCGATGAAACTCTTGCTATTTCCCCTCACAAAGGTTGGAGTATTCCCCTCGTTGAGGATAACTAGGTCCAATGTTGCCATCCAATCAGCTACATATTCACCTCGCGCGTCCTCGGTAGGAGATCCCCATAAGGTTGATTTCGCATTTAGATCTCCCAAGATGACAAACTCTTTATTTTGATTTCTTGCATCATTCATGATATTATCTTTGTCAGTTTTGAAGGCATCGATCGTGATGTTGGGAGAGATATAGCAACAGTATACGTTGAAGTCCTTCAGACTCAAACACACAGCTCCTTCAAGCTTTGTGAACCCTGTAACACCCAAATTTTTGTTTCGACAGAGTATTCCAACATCATTCCTTATATCTTCAATCCATTCACCTTTTTGGATAATCTTCTTGTTAGGTTCACTAATGAGCATGAGATCAATGTCTTCCTTTTCGGCAGTGGCAAAAGCTAGGTCATGCGCTCTTCGTGATCTTCCTAGATTTACTTGCAAAATCTTGATTTTTTCTACTACATCCATCTGACTTTTTTTTTTTTTTTTTTTTTTTTTTCAGTTTGTCGCTACCCCCTTGTTTGGTTTCCTTCTAGTTCTCTCCTCAATTAAGGCCCTGTACACGGGACATTTTATTTGATCATTTCTATGGCCTATGGTTCCACAGGTCAAACAGAAAGAACTCTCTTTGCATTCGTTTGCCTTGTGGGATTCACCGCCACAATTCCTGCATGCGCTTGCTCTATCTTCACCTGTACACTCGTTCGTATAATGACCGAACTGAAGGCATCTAAAACATCTCGAAAGAGGTACCCGTTCTCTCAGTCGGCAATTCACCCACCCAATCTTGATCCTTCCGCGTTTCAACAACTTATTCGCAAGCTCTTTCCCATGTATAGCCACCGTGGCGGCTTGGCCTCCGCTACGATTTGGCCTCAGTGATTTCACAGCTATATTATGTATATTCTCCTGTCCTATCACCTCTGCTATTGCAGCTAACACCTCTTCAGCCTGTGTGATTGCGTCTATATCATTTATATGTATTTGAGTTTCTTGCCTGTGAACTCTTATATTTGTCGCCGTCATCTTTTTCATGATTTCTTCTTTGAGAATGTTTGCGTTGCCTTTCCCACCATCTAATTCTAACATTAAATCTCCTTTCATAGTTTTCTTGATGGTTCTGATGTTTATTCCCATGTTGCCGATATCCACTTTGCCTTTGATATCTCTTAGCATGTCTGCATAAGTCTTACCTTCACATTTGATGACCATTCTTTCTGGTGTTGGCCTGAGGGCCTTATTTACACCCTTCGCAGGTTTGGCTAGTATTGTGATATTTATTGCCTCCTTGTGAAAGATATACTCAAAGATTTTCCTCATGTAATCATCCTCCAAGCCGCCATTCACAATCACATTTATGTTGTCTGTTGGATGTATCTCCATTGTAGCTTTCAGTATTTTCACCTGTGTGTAGAGCTCTTCTATGCTCCTAATCTCTCCCGATGTATTTCCCCACGGTACTATGTAAAAAGCTCGAATTTCCTCAGATTCCTCGCGATTTTTACTCATTGTTTTATTCGTGTGCAACACAAAATCTACTTGTCCGTCGTTATTTTTCATCAATTCGGAGACTCCAGGGAAAATGAGTTCTAGTGTCCCTATCGTTTTGTCAACTTTAGGGTCACGCGGGTTCACAATTACTACGATGTCTCCTCCTCTGTTGAGTGAGGATACGTCTATATCCTTCAATTTGGCCCGCTTGAATATTTCTTCTGGCCAAGATTCATCCATCGCTTCAGATACCCCAATGAAGCCAGTATCTTCCTCGAGTATATTCTTCATTTTGGTTATCCTCAACTGTTCGGAAATCTCCAGCTCTTTCTCTAACTCGTCTTCTGTGACTTGTGTTCCTATCGTTACCATCTCCTTCTGTGGGCACTGCATTGGATTTTGTAGATTAACATCTTCCGTGTTCCTTCCTACTTCCTCCAGCCATTTCATCACCCCTTCATTCTCCAGTTGCCTAGTGCACATATTCATGGCTCTGGTGATGTCTAACAATTCTGTTTTTGGTTTGTATGAGGCTTTAATCAGTTTATTGAGAAGCTTGACTTGTTTGGAAATCATTTCTATATTCTTCCTCAGAATTTCAGTTTGCTCTTTGGACTCTCCCCGAAGTTTTTCTGGTGTTTCGTTTTGTCTTTTTCTTTTCAATCTCTGCTCCACATCTGATTGTGTCTCCTCTTGTAAGTTTGTTACATCATATTCTAAGTTTGGTAACAATGTCTTCTCCGTATTGTCCATCTCGCTAAAAGTTTCCGGCATAATTGTTTCGTTGTAACTTCCACTTTCACTTAGGTTCGAAGTTCTCCTAGGGGGTGTTCTTCTTAAAGAATCACTTCTTCTGAAAGGATTATACTTCCCTTCCAATACTTCAAATCGGTTGCTTGTTTGTAGATCTGTTCGGAAGATTTCGTCTTCGCCAGTAGTGAGAATACTCTCTTTGGCCTGGTTTTCCACCAAAGGAGAGCCGCAGTTGCTGGATGACGGTCCAGTGAGGCCTGCTCCACCACCTCTAACCTGGACCGGTACTGGGGATCCGACCCCCTGCACCGTAGCTTTAATCTTTTCTTTTTCCGTACTCATTTCATTTTGTCATAGCCATAGCCTGTTTGTCAGTTTTGGTCCGCGCCGAGTATTTGATTTCCCCGGTACCTCCTATATCTAGGAGGCATTCCCCTATCCGCCACCTGAGGACGCGCCCGATGGGGGACTGACAACCCCACACGGGATCTATCTATCTATCTATCTATCTATCTATCTATCTATCTATCTATCTATCTATCTATCTATCTATCTATCTATCTATCTATCTTTCTATCTATCTATCTATCTATCTATCTTTTTTTTTTTGTGGGAGGGGAAATCTTGCATGAGACGTTGTGCCGGATTCCTACCGACTAAAACCCCTCCCACATTCTCCGCACTCATTACACCGGTAACCGCTTTCGCATTTCTTCAGTGTAATAAGTTGGCTGGTTAGTTACGACCTTCTCTTTCTTTCGTCTCTATAATTAGTCTGATCACTTTGTTCGTGTAGTTCCGGGTATCTCCTGATTCCGTCAAGGTTTCCATCATATTTGTTGCATCAAATGGCCTGTTCAAATTTTGTTCATATTCAAGTCTCATTTCGTTCCATCGGGGGCAGTGGTACAGTGTGTGATTTGCATCGTCTTCTTCAGAACAATATGTGCACTCACTCGATTCAGCTCTATGTCGTTCGTAGAGATATTTCTTAAAGCATCCATGTCCAGACAAAGCCTGGGTGAGGAAATAGTCGACCTCTCCATATGGTCTGTCTAGCCATTCTTGGATGTTTGGTATGAGATAATTCGTCCAGCGTCCGTATGTTCCCTGGTTCCACTTTTCTTGCTATCGCAGCATCAGGGTTTCTCTAGCGTTACTCTTTGATACTCCATTATATTTCTCGTGTCTCTCTTGTATTTGCAATTCTATGGGTGGAATGCCAGAAATAACCCCAGCTGCATCAGCTGAGATTGTTCTATATGCACTACAGACTCTTATGCACATTTGCCTCTGAACCCTGTTTAGCCTCTGTGTCAGCTTTTTATTGTTTGTTACTGTGTACCACACTGGGGCCGCATACAGTAACTGCGAGTGTACGACGCTTGTAAGAATCTTTCTTTTCGACGCTCTGGGTCCTCCGACATTCGGCATTAGACAACTCAATGCCGTTACAGTCTTTTCAGCTTTCTCGATCGTTTTATTGACGTGTTCGGCAAAAGTCATCTTTGTATCTAGCCAGACTCCCAGATATTTAATTGCCTTGCTCGGCCCAACAATGTTTCCTTGGACGTTGAAATGAATTGGAGCTATTTTCCTCTTAGTGGTGAGGAGCACTGCTTCAGTTTTTTGCGGAGCTGATGCGAGTTTATTCCTCTGCATCCAATTTGTCACGCGTTGAAGGGCCGCATTCGCACTGTTCATCAAACAGTCTTCAGTTTTTGCAGTCACTACCATAATTACATCATCCGCAAAGCCAATCAGGGTAACACCTAAAGGTTGTTCCATATCTAGCAGATCATCATACATGATATTCCATAGAGTTGGGCCTAAAACTGACCCTTGTGGAACGTCGCTGCTTATTTCTACTGTTTTTGTGGTGCCTTCTGCCTCTAGTATAATTTCTCTCTCTGATAGATATGAGGCGATGATCCTGATCAGCCTTTTGGAGATTCCCTCTTCTCAAGTTTCTCAAGAATGAGTTGCCACGACGCACTATTGAAAGCATTTCTCACATCTAAGGTTATTGCTGCGCAGATTCTTCGATGCGATGCTGAATAAGCTGCAGCTTCCCTGGCTAACTCTTGCACTACCCTGATGGCATCTACTGTTTGACGGCCTTCCCTGAAGCCGAATTGCATCTGTGATAAGTCTCCCGTTCTTTGTAGTTCCTGCTTGAGCCTGATGAGGATAAGGTGTTCGTATAGTTCTCCTTCCACGTCTAGTAGAGATATCGGCCTAAACGATGAAGGGTTGTCTAGTGGTTTGTCTCCTTTTCTCAACAGCACTAATCGTGCGCGCTTCCATTCCTTCGGAAACTTTGCAGCGTCTGCTAAATCATTGTAGACCGCTAGGGTATATTCTGGCCTCTCTATGGATATAGACTGTTGGCCCGCGACACAGGGTTTATCGATGTTCTAAGTCGGTATGCCATTTAAGGGACCCACTCACTCAGTCCGAGTTAACAATAAGAAGTGCCTCGGAGAGTCGCAACCCAGTCCTTGCCCCGGCCCTGACCTCACCTTTCGGTTGGAAAAAAGTTCAAAATTTTGTTTTAGAAGAAGCTCGGCAATGAAGTGTAATGATCTTATCTCACGACAATTGGGGCGCTTGCCGGTTTGCATACGCCTAGGTCACTCCCCAAGGGCGGCATACGAACCGGAAGAGGGAATTTTTCAGTGTCATAGTCGATGATCGAAGAATGTATGCCCTTTGGCAAAACAATGAATTCGGACCCATCAATCAGTTTCCCGACATTTGCATACGATTCCGGAGAGGGGAGCTCGACTTATTCGAACATCATTTTACTGAATATCCTTCAAATAATCGATAATCGAAGAAATGTTCAAATTTTGACCATGGTTTGTGGACCACACAGTATATATAAGATGATGGTTTGCATACAATTTGCACATACCGTATAGGGTGTTTCACCATAAATATCTCCTATTGTAACTCAGTTGTTTCTGAACCGATTTTGAGATTTCAAAAACCAATTAAAATGATTTTCCTAAGAGATTTCTCATTGTTATCAAATTCACAGGCTGTTCATAACAAATGAACTATAGTTGTTGTTTTTTTTACTGGAACATTATATTTTATCTGACTCACTATCGAGTTGAGATTATCATGACGAATACAGCTCTACAGCATCTAGCGATATCATTCACACGCAGCACTCTTATAGCGATCATGCGCCAAATTTTTAAATTATGCCAGAAATATGAGTCCCTAGTTTGAAGTATTCCCTTTTTTTTTGCTTAAACAATTTTCATATCTGAACAATGATTTGCTGCGGCAGCCGGGTAGAGTGTAGCACGTAATGATTTAATAGGCATTCAATAATGTTTTTTCCTTTTGTCGGAGATCCGATATTTGAATATCTCAAAAACCATTTACTTTTGTATAATGTATATTACAGATTTATTCACTTCTTACTGCCTCCCCTACCAGTGGTATGAATCGGATTACCATTAACTCTGCGTTTAAGTGCAGCGTGTGAATCTTATCGCTAAACGCCAGTCAACTATACTGGGTTTGATGAAGTTATGTCATTGTCAGTTACATAAAAAATAATGAAGGGGGCTGGGCCCTTGATACTTTTTTCCAGTACGATTTCAATTGGTACCTTGGTGAAGCTCTTTCAGCAGAGGTTGGTGATATCATAAAATCCGAGACTTCAACTGAGAAAGTATCAGGTATATCTTTCGATCATGCCAAGATTTTTCAATAATCATTCTTACTAATATGTACTGATGACAACTCTGGAGAATCATCTTCAGACAGCGAGAGCGAAGATAACTCTGAAGATAATGATAGAGAGGACGACGTATAATTTTTTCTTTGAAATTTAATGTTGTTTTCATTTAATATAATTTCATTTTCAAATAATTTTTTTATGTGAAAAACAAAAATGTAGATTGAAGTTCAGGATACAGACCCCATGCATACTATACCCAGAACATTCAATAAATAAAATGTACATTCTTCATATATTTTTCAGACGCCAATATTATGATACGCAGTCCCATAAGCCCCAGGAAGAATTTCAATTCGATTTATTGTGAGTTTCGATCATGAGCAATAATCCACCCCTCTTCTCCCTGTACGATCCCTCTTGATCATCCTGCGAGTATCTTGCTTTCAATTTTTTTAATTATCTTTTTAAAGCCCTGTTCTTCAAATTAAAATCACACAAAATATTTCTTGGTACTAAAACCTCTCACACATGTAATATTGTTGAGCAGTATAAATTTCTGATGAATAAATACATATATATCTGCAATTTGCGTATTTGAATATCCCCATCACTCCCAGGAAGTTAATCTTTGACCCGGTTTCATGTAAAGTGAGATTATGAGACTTCCCCTGATTATCTAGTTCGCTTTCGGTGCACCTCTGGCCTGCAGTGCGGGGCGCCGCGCCGGACCGAGGCACGCGCGGGTTTGCCCGATTATTACAACGTATGCTCACATTGAATTCGTATGCAAATAGCATCTAGTTATAAAGAATATCCTAGTTTATCGGTCTAGAGATTTGCATACGAACTTAAATCATCGATTATTTGGAAGATGTCTAGTCAATTTATGTTCGAATAGGTCGAGCTCCCCTCTCCGGAATCGTATGCAAATGTCGGAAAACTGATTAATGGGTCAGAATTCATTGTTTTCCCAAAAGGCATACATTCTTCGATCATCGACTATAACACTAAAAAATTGCCACTTCCGGTTCGTATGCCGCCCATGGGGACTGACCTAGGCGTATGCAAACCAGCAAGCGCCCCAATTTTCGTGAGATAAGATCATTGCACTTCATTGCCGAGCTTCTTCTTAAACGAAATTTTGTACTTTTTTCCAACCGAAAGGTGAGGTCAGGGCCGGGGCAAGGACTGTGTTGCGACTCTCCGAGGCACTCCTTCCTGTTATCTTGGAGTAAGTGAGTGGGTCCCTTAAATGGCATACCGACTTAGAACATCGATAAACCCTGTGTCGCGGGCCAACAGTCTAATACTGATTTGATGATTTCTGGCGGTATATATCCAGGTCCAGGGGCTTTATTATTCTTTAGCTTCTCGCAAGCTAATTTGAGTTCGTCTATCGTAAAGTTTAAAAATCTATGTTCTATATTACAGTTGTTTATATCACAGTTATTAATATCACAGTTATGTATATCACACGTGAAAACCACTTGCTGGTGGACAGGAAAGAGGTGCTCTACCACCAGTTCCACTGTATACATTGTCAGCATCAGTCTGGGGGGGTACCCGATAATCCATTTCATGACTATTTTATAGCCATCCCCCCAGATATCACAGTCGATGTCGTTGCAGAGAGTTTTCCAGC